AAAGGGAACAGCCAGTGCAAAGATCACTTGGATAGAGGAAGGTAGAAGGAAGACCAGAAAGTGAGTCCAAAGGAGCTTCCTGCCTGCATGACTCATCCCTGTCCTCTGGATCCAGCGTCCTGCTGATTAATGCTGGCGGTGTGGACCCTGTGCCGGAAGATAGGGAGGGGCTTTGGAGCCACCATGCTGACCGTATTCTACTTCATGCTCACTCCCCTGGGTGGTCCTATCTAGGGTTGCTTCGAGCACCGCTCCGGGTGCTCTAGGCATACACACCCTCTTTCCTTCTGGCCACCCAGTGTCCACTCTTCCTCCCTTTCTTGAATAGGTGACAGACACACCCACTCTGGAACAATTGGAACAACCAGAAATGAGGACTGCAGATTCAGGAATGTAGAATTTCATGTAGCAAGTGTCTAAGGTTCTATCCCATCCAGCTAGGAAGACAGCCATCATTGGACATCACCCTGCCAAGCTGTCTCTTGGTCACCCATGGGTGTTGTGTGTGCACCAAGGGATTGCTGGGCAAGTTCCACTCAGTAATGATGAGAAGGCACCAGTGCTTGGGCATCCAAAGACCTGAGGTTCAGAAGTGGCGCCCTGCCATCTAATCCTGACCTGGAAGGAGCTGGAGGCACACTGGGCTGGTCCAAGGAAGGTCAGTGGCTTCAGATGAGAGGTAGACAGCAAGAAGCTCACCCAGGCTGCCAGCACATGCAGGGACAGCCAGGATGCCAAAGCAGCCTGTACAATAGGAAGCCCAGCTACGCAACTCCCCAGATGTTAGTCACCGAGGTCTCACCAGGCAGCAAACCACAGTGACTCAAAGCTTGGGTTTTTGGGTCAGTTGCCCTGGGTTCAAATCCCACTTCCGTTATTTCCTTTCTGTTGGCAAGTTTTTTCCTCCAGGAATAGCTTCCTTATCTGTAGAATGGGCTTACCTCCTTGGATTGTTATAAGGATTTAGTGAAATAGAGCCTCTGATCAATCCCTGTGTGGAGGTAATTATTGCTGCCTGACTGTCTAGTATTTGTCTAGTATTTGTCTAAGCTCTTGCCTTCCTTTCCCTTTCTAGCTTCGTTCTTGTTACTTGGACCAGCCATCCAGGGGATGTGGCACCTCCCAATGGCACCATCGTGCTAGCCCAGGGTAACAACAACAAACAGTTGATTCAAGGAGGGATGTTTTTAATGAAGGGCATAGGTTTTCTGGAGTGCCTGCGTTGTGCCATCCCAAGCGGAGGGCGATACCACCTTGAGCCTCAAGAGCCTTTTTATCCTGGCAACTCTATGAATTCACAAAACGCATATGACTGTCATTGCAGAGCTACCACTCCGGGCGCCAAGATCAGCAAGTAGTTCCTCATAGGAGATGAGCAGTACAGGCAGCATCATACCACCAGGGGGCGCTGCCCAGCTGGTCTCTCTCCCCCATTTCTCAAGGAGGCTGATGGGAGGCAGAATGAGGAGCCCTGGATTCAGGTTTGCCCTTAGGCTGCGGTCCACGGGCAGCTAGTCTGCACCTTGAAGATCTGCCACCTCTTGGGCTGGGAATAGCAATAACAGGGACTCTTCACGTCACTTGGGTCCTTCACAGTTTGCCTCCAGTTCCTGTACATGCATTCTATCTTATAACTAAGGGGATAAACCCCAGATAATGAACTAAGGCTCAGAGAGGTAAAATGGCTGCTTAAGGCCACACAGCTGGTAAATGGCAAAGCAAAGATCCCTCCTAGGCTTGCCTGCTGCCAACCCCGGGGTCCCAGTGTCTGACCAGAGGAGAGGCAGCATGGTGAGGGGGCAGGAGGGTGTCCTGGGAGACTGGAGCCAGGTCTGAGTCTTTCCCTTCCCATTCCTATCCATTCCCTTCCTCTCTTCCCACACTGTGGGATTTCAGCAAACTGCTCTATTTTGGGGAAAGATGGCAAGGGGCTCAGGCAGCACAATACTGAGAGCCCTCGATGCTCAGCCAAGATATGTGCTTTTCCTGGAGTGCAGCCTGGGCTCTCTAGGGATGATTTTCAGTCCTGCCAGAGACTTCCACACTAGCCACCCCAACTAGCCATCAACACTGCAGCCTGCAACTGCACCCCTAGTCTGGGGGCAGATGCCAGGATGCAAGGAGCCAAGGCAGCGTGCTAACAGAGGATGCCTGAGGCCACCATTCACTCTACATCATCACTATGCTCCATGCTGTACATGCAGCCTCATGACAGCCCTGTGAGGCACAATATTATGGTCTCCATTTTACAGGTGAGGAAACTGAGGCTCAGAGAGTACCTGAGCAACTCTGGAGAGGGGGAACTGGCTTTCCTCCCATCTCTGCCACTGACTGACTAGATGCACGAGGAGTGGGCAAACACGGATCTTAGCCTCTGCTTGGGTTCTGGAGAAGGTGAAGAAGGGCATAAGGGCTGGTTGTCCTTCAGCAAAGGTTTCCTGAGCACCAACTCTTGGAGATAGGGAGGAAGGAGCCCGCAGGCTTCCAGGAGCTCACAAACCTAGGGAGTCAGCCAGGTCCTCAGTGAAGGATAAATTGCACCCATACCTGTGAGTGAGTATGTGCAGAGGACAGCAAGAGTGAGACAGGGGGCTCTGGTGGTCAGCCAAGGTTTACAGGAGGAGGGGGGACTGGAGCCAGTCATCAAAGGGTGAGGATGAACATGCTTTGACGCAGGGAGATGTGGGAGATCTATGAGCGAAAGCCAGGGCATTAGGGTCGTGGGCTGGGGCGGGGGAACAGCAGGTGAATGACGGCTCCTCTCTGGGGCACCCTCTTGGTCTTAGGAGAGAGATAAGGTGCAGGAAGACTCTGGGTGTCCATGAAGGGGGGTGCCCCAGGGAGCACATGCCTTATGGAGACCCATCTCAGTGGGAAGAAAAGTAGTTTGGGATTTGCTGTAGTCAGAAAATTTCATGCCTCCGTGTATGTGAATGTGTATGTGTGAGTGTATCTTTGAAGCCCTATGTCAAAGTAGTTTTGCCTCCGCAATCTCTTTTCCCTTTCCCAACTACCCTGAGAGGTTGGCTGGACAGAAATATCATCCTCAGGGACAGAGGAGCGAAAAGAACCCCAGTGGGATGATGTCTGGCCCACGGTCAGGGGGCTCAGTAGTTGAAAAGCCAAGGTCTATCATGGATGGGCTCCTGGCCCCAGCTCTATGCTTCTGCCCCAAAACTTTTGCCTAGACTGCTCTCCTATCTCCCAGGACCCTGCATACCACAGGCCACCAAGCCACCTGCCTCCTCCTGCATTTTTACAGGAAAACCCCCAACCTGGTCTGGTAGGTATGGGGCAGGAGTGAAGGAATGAAACCAGAAGATGAGGTGCAGTGGCTACAGAGGCCAGAGCCCAAGACCAGGGCTGAAGGTCCATCTTCTTCTCCCAAACTGTTTAAAGTGCCCACCACTGCCTTAAGGAGGAGCTGCCATAAGAAAGGACCTGGGATGGGTAAAGCCCTGTGCTGGTCCTCCAGGGCAGACTTGGAGAAATGGTCCCCCTAGCTTGACCTCTCCTTTCCAAATCTCCAGTGGGATGGCACTGAGGACTGAAGGTCTGGGGGGAGCAGGGAGTCAACTTCTGCTTCCTGCCAGTAACTGTGGGCACTTGCAAAGCTCTCCCTTAGTGCCAGACACTGCTCTGAGTGCTGCACACACATTCTCAATCTTCACAACCACCTCGGCAGGAAGGTATAATTATTACCTCCATTTTACAGGGAGGCATAGAGAGGTTCAGTGACTTGCCTAAGATCACTGTTTGTAAGTGGAAGAACTGGGGTTCAAACCCAGGAAACCCGCCTCTAGGAGCTACTCTGCCCCTGTTATTAATAACTATTATAAGCTAAGCCACCATTTGACTAGTACCTCCGGTGTGCCTGGGGCTCAGCTCCTCACAGCAAGGCTGGGACTTGGGCACTGATGGCCTGCACATTTCTCATTTCATAGATGAATAAATCCGGGCTTAGCAGGCGGCCTAGCGCGAGGCGACTTCACAACCTCACAGATGCTAGGTCCACCTAAATCCGAAGTGTCCATTCTACTCAGCCTCTTTGGGGGCGTCTTTGACTCCCTGTGTGACACTGGGAAAGCACATTTCTTTTCAGAGCCTCAGTTTCCCTATCGCTTAGGTCTTCTACTCCTGGCCTCCCTGCTCCAGCGAGTGCCAGAGTGGGTGGGGTTGCGGTGCTGTGGGAGTGAGGGTCTCAACTGCTCAGGACCTTTTCCTTCCCCCACCTTGTGCTCCCCCTCCCCCCACAACGTCCCTCGCAGAAGTTGCCGATCCGCTTTTGCTTTTTTTTTTTTTTTTCTCCAATGGTGGGTGCAGGTTAAGGATGGGAGAGCTGGGTGCAGAAGGAATCGTTCAGGCCTCCTGGAAGTAAAGCTAGCCCAGGTAGAGGCCAGCTCAGATTTGAAGGAAAATTTAAAGCCCGAGCCACGATGTCCAGGCAGTTTCTGCTGGAGCGGACTGTCTCTCAGGGAAAGAAGGCGCCCCAGATTTGAGGGGAGGGGGGGCAGGGAGGGGGAGCCTGAGGAGGCAGGTTCTGGACAAGAGGATGGGGGTGGAGTGGGGGACGCGGACAAAGGGGGAGGCGACCCCGGCAGCCCATGTTTTGTGCTTCCTGTTTCTTTAAAGGCGCTGGTGGCTCGGGCGACCGGGGCTGGGGGAGGCGGCGGCGGGCGAGAGCCTCTTCCTCTCGGGCGGCAGCGCTGGGGCTAGATCTGGGAACTGAGACTCTGTAATGGCCAAACTGAGGGGGCTAAAACAAACAGACGCAGCAGGCAGTTCTCCAGAAATGCTGGCAAGGAGGCGGCAGCGACTGGGCAGCCTCTAGGCCTCCAGGAACAGGACAGCCGGCAACCTCGCATGAACCGGCAGCTGCATGCCTGGGCAGAGGGGAAGGAGAGGGGAGGGGAGGAGGGCGGGCGCGAGAAGGGGGGAGAGCCAGAGACTCCCAGGCACTGAGCGCGGCGGCAGCCGGGCGACAGCCGGCGCACCGCCCGATGCAGAGCCGCGGCGGGCGCGCGGCCCAGGCAACCCCGCGCCTGCTCGCGCTGCCCGCCATCGCCAGCCCCATCCCGGTTCTCGAGGACGGGCCGTGGAAGACCGTGTGCGTGAAGGAGCTGAACGACATCAAACTCAAGAAGGAAGACAGGGAGCCGACATGACGCGCGAACAGCTGTAAAACTCCGATTGGACTTGGAAAGCTACTCCAGGCACGGCGCCACCGCCTGTAACGGGCTGCTGACAGGACCAAGCCAGCCAGTCCTGACCCCAGTGCCAGCAGAACAGCGCCGGCGGTTCCCTCAGGTGGGGGTGCGGACCCAGCCGGGGAGCGCCGGGGCGCCCGAGCGTCGGAGGTCTCGGACGCGCGGAAACGCGGCTTCGCCTTGGGCGCAGTGGGGCCGGGACTCCCCACGCCGCCGCCGCCGCCGCCGCCACCGCCGCCGGTTCCAGCGTCCCAGGGCCAAGTACCTGGGGGTCCCGAGGCGCAGCCTTTCCGGGAACCCGGCCTGCGTCCCCGCATCTTGCTGTGCGCACCGCCTGCACGCCCCACGCCGTCGGCGCCCCCTGCGCCCCCGGAGTCTTCAGTGCGCCCGGCGCCCCCCACGCGCCCCGGGGAAAGTTCTTACTCGTCAATTTCACACGTAATTTACAATAACCACCCGGATTCCTCCGCGTCGCCTAGGAAACGGCCGGGCGAAGCGACCACCGCCGCTTCGGAGATCAAAGCCCTGCAGCAGACCCGGAGGCTCCTAGCGAACGCCAGGGAGCGGACGCGGGTGCACACGATCAGCGCAGCCTTCGAGGCGCTCAGGAAGCAGGTACCAGCTCCCAGCCGCACACCCTCACTGCGCCCGAGGGATGGTTGCGGGAGTGGGTGGGTGAGTGGCGGGGGGATTTTCGGTCAGATGAAGGTGTGTGTGAGGCGCATATTGTTCCCGCCCGGTCGGCCCCAGGGCCCAGACACATTTGAGCCCTTCTAGGGCAGTAACCTTTGTCACAGCGTTGGTACGGATCTTAGCTTGCAAAGTGAGGGCAAAGGTTCGAGATCTCTGGCCAGGCACGCCCCGGTCCTTCCCCCAGCCCCCCAGGGTGACCCTGTCTGCGCGTCTGACTTCAGCCCTCATAGTTCATTTTTATGGCAGCGAGTTATTTGTCTCCCCGGGTCCCTTGGGCGCGGTGGGGAGTGGAGAGAGGGAATGTGGGAATCTGTCTCCAGCGAGGAAGAGTGGGGAAGACCCTTTCCCTTCGGGCATTTAGTGTGGTCTGGATCTTGGAAGGCCCAGATGCTGCGGAGGGGTGGACCTAGTTTTGCTAGCCCCTCTTCAGCCCCTACGTCCCAAAAGAGATACCCCTACACTCTGGCTGCTTCGGGGTTCTGCAACCTTTTCCCTGGTATCCTTAAGGATCTGGGTTACAAGCCTGCGTCCCCTCCCCAGGGGGCAGCCTCAGGAATTGGCTGCTGAGAGCCTTCCTAGGGGATGCCCTCCGCTGCTCCCTTTCACCTCACGGTGAAGCAGGTAGGTCTACTGAGGGGACCGGATGGTTAGGGGATCTTCAGAGCCTAGTTCTGAGGTGGGCCAGGGGCTTCTCAGTTTGGGGCTGGTGGGCACTGCCCTTACCAGCGTCCTCTGGGGGGATGAGTGACGAAGAACATTTGTTAGAGAATTACCCTTAGAGGAGAGGGGCAGTTTTGCAATTACACTTTAAACAAGACTGGGACTGCCCTGGGGTTCTAGACTTCTCATTTTCTTAGAAAGAAGGGAGATCTTAGAAGAGGGTAGTGAGTGCCCCCTGCCCCCAGCCCCACAGGGCATGGGGATGGATTAGGGGTGGATGGGACTGGTTTAGATGTTCAGGTTTTTTGCCTACTCTGTAGCCGATTTCTTGTGTGACTCCAAGAAAGTAACTCAGCCTCTCTCTTTAGCCAACAACAAAGCGTCTTAGAAAACATGATCTTCTTTCTGGATCCCAGTCTCTTCTTCCTCCTGCGGGCGGAGTAGACAGGGACATGTGTCCATCCATTGGAAGGGAATTGAGCTTCTGGGAGAAAAGAGGCTCTACGACTTGAGCCAAAGTGTCTTGCTTGGGCTTGGGTGAGATGCTTGGTCAGTGAGGTGGCCAGCCACACGGGTTGGGACCCTGGGCAGTGGGCCCGGTGGAACATTCAGGCTTATTCTTGGACAGCAGCTCTGTGTCTGAATGCCTGGGGAGGGTGGCAGCCTGTAGAGTGTCCTACAACCCACCCCAAGGATGGAAGGATGACAGAAGGGCAGAAAGATGCCTGTCCACTTGCTCCCCTTGCAACTAGGGAAACCTCCCAGACTGGGGAGGCCACGTGCCTAGAGCATCACAGCCGGTGAGTAGCAGGGCAGGGCTGTCATCTAGGTCCCTTTGGCTGCCAGTTCAAGGCCCCTTTTGCCTCGTTCATTTCTGAGAAAGTATTCATGGTCTCTGTGTACTCAACTACATCTCATTCACCCAGTGGCTTTAGCTTCTTTCAATAATATTCCATCTTGTTTGATCTTAACATCCTGGCAGGTTGAAGTAGCCCATTCAATGGAATGGAAAACTGAGGCCTGGAGAAGGAAGGAAGGAGACTTGTCCAAGATCACCTAGTGGGTAAAGGCAGATGACAGCAGTTTCTGGAATGACTGCCTGGCCAAATGCTTTCCACCGTGCCATCTTTGTATCAGTGTCAAGTTTATTAACAATCAGAAGCTGGTTAACACGTGGCTGAGTCAGAGATGAGATTATTTAAGTCCTGGTCCCTTTTTGCTTCTACCCTTCTTGTGGAGAAGTTCTACATAAAAAGGACAGATTCAGGGACATACCTATGGCTATGTCATGATCATTACACGTGCCTAAGAGCACACACAAATACACGGTCACAGAGGTGCCTGCTCCTGTTCGTTCTCTCCTTGCTCAGACCGTTCTGTCCCTTCCCCAGAATGCTGCTGGGCCATAGGGGGCATCTGCCTATTGTCTGGGAGGAAAGGAAATATGGCAAGGGCACTCGTGGTCTCAGAGCCAGGGGCTGAGGCCACACCCACCATGGCATCCATCTGATGGAGAAAGTCCTGTGTCCCGAAGGAGCTCCTTCCTCCTCTGGGCCTCAGTCCCCCACCTGTAAAAGGTGCACACATCCACATCCCAATCCAGATACTCCAGTCCACACAAGCTGTCGCTCTGGTTTGACTGTTTGAAATGGGCCCTTGGCAAAGGAGGGAAAGGAAGGAGGATGGCTTTGCCTGAAAGAAGGGCTTGGCCATCATAGCACCGAGATCAGTTCTGGGACTGTGGCTGTAATCTGGGGTCTTGTTTCCCTCAGCAGCTTCCTGGTATGGCTAAAAGAGCACTGGATGAGGAGTTCAGAGGCCTCCTCTGGGTTTGAATCATGCCTCTGCTGCATGCTTTCTGTGTGATCATGGAAAGTCACTTCCCCTCTCTGGGCTTTAGTGGCTAAAGCTGGAAAATGGTGATAAGGCTCCCCCCAACACCTCCCCATAGCTTCTTTGCAAAGAGCAAATGAAAAAACAAATGGGGCTGTAGGAGGAATGAACAATCCTTGAGCATTTATAGTGTCCTCAGTGCCAAGCAAAGCCTTGAGAAATAAGTGGAAATAAATATTCTATAATCATTTTATTTAAAATTTTTAATGTTTATTCATTTTTGAGAGAGAGAGAGAGAGAGACTGAGACAGAGACAGTGTGAGTGGGGGAGGGGCAGAGAGAGAGAGAGAGACACAGAATCTGAAGCAGGCTCCAGGCTCTGAGCTGTCAGCACAGAGCCTGATGTGGGGCTCAAACTCACGAACCACAGGATCATGACCTGAGCCGAAGTCAGACACTTAACCCACTGAGCCACCAGATACCCCTATAATCATTTTAATAACAATGATAGAAGCTACCATTTATCAGATGTTTGCTTTGGGTAGAGCACCAGGCTAAGCATATTATGTGTGTTAGTTCATTTAATGAAATAGGTATGTTATCCTCTCCTCATTTCACAGATCGTGAAACTGAGGTTCAGAGAGCTTATGTGAGTTGGCAGAGGTCGCAGCCTTTTGCCACCACGTGGGGCCTTGCGGGTTTTGTACTGCACATCTCCTTGGCGAACAGTCTTTAGATTTGTGTGTGTTGGTGCCTTCTTGGCATGGTGTAGGCACAGCCTGTGTAGCTGTGTTCCACTGTCACTGTAGGGCCGGGATTCAGATCAGAGTCAGTGAGTCACTCCAGTGCCCAGGCTTTTAAGAGCTCTGCTTCTCAGGCTTTTGAATGCCCCGGAGCTGTCCACCCTCAGCACCAGGAAGCCTCCTGTTTGGTCCAACGCACTCTGCTCTTAACCAGAAGGGGAAGTGGGGGCAGCTGCTTGGCCAAGGAAGTGCAGGTGGGGAGAGGCCCTCTGGTCTTGGTGGGGGTGTGTGTGGGGCAGATGGTCAGGCCACAGCACATGCCACCAGCCCAGCTGCGTAGGGCCCTCCCTGCCGCCTCATGTGAAGGCCATGTGTGCACAGCTGGGCCTGGCCCGTGTGCAGGGCTGCTCGGGGCCAGGTGGGAGGGGGTCAGAAGGAAAGCCTGGCCTTGCTGGGTGAGTGAGGGGAGAGGCCCGAGTTCTGGCCTCAGCCTCCTGGCAGAACACTGGGACATCTGGTGTGAGTGCAGATTTCCTCTCTCCCCTCAAAAGCCCCTCAGCCTCGATGGAGGAACGGTAACCTGACAGGGCCGAGGCCTGGGGTGGTGGTGAGGAGCCCTCAGGGCCTGCTGAGGTACCTCTTCATGAGCAGGGGGCCAAGCAAGTTGGGCCTGGGGCCCCTACCCTGCTGTCTCCCAGGGGATCCTCACCGAGTGAACTCAGGGTGGACCATGAGGGGGCATTGGGATGGTGCCCCCAGCCCTATACCTCCCTTAGCCCCTACCCCATAGGATGCCGGGGGCGTGACCCCACAGCAGCCAGTGCGTACCTCCTCAGGGAATGGGGGGCAGGCCAGCTTTGGGGACTCCATCCACATGGTTGAGGGGTGACAGAGGGCTTTACTCTGCCCCCTCATGACCACAGTCACCAGAGTGGCTGTTTATTGAGCCTCATTGCACTGGGTGAAGTGCCTTACCTGAGCCTGTTGCACATCTCTGCTGTCACCTTCCCATTTTACAGATGAGAACACTTACAGAGAAGTTAAGCGAGTGACCAGGACTTGTACCCAGGTCTGTCTTGCCCTGGGGTCATGGCTCTTAACTACTAAGAGCCAGGTTCTCAGGGTCCAGCCTCACGGCTGTGTGGAAAGGGGATTTTCGAGAACGTATTTCGGTAGAACTTGACAAGGACCTCGCACAGCCCTGCACCAAGTGGCTTCACCCCAGGCAGCCAGCACCCACTGAGCGATTAGAGAATAGTTTCAAATGCAGTCAGGGGCTCAGCTGTGTGCCATGACATGGTGATATTGGAGCTCGGTGGGTCCGGGAGTCCCGATGGGCTACCAGGAGGGAATCCTGGGCTGGGTCTGAAGAGGGGGAGGGCTTTGAGGACTTTCCCGCAAGGGCTGGTAGGTTCTGGACTTTGTTTCTCTGTAGCAACTTCCTATATTTGCCTGCTAGGCTCCCACTGTGAGGTAGTGGGTATTCTGATGATCATTTTGTTGGTGAGGAAACTGAGGTCCTTTACAGTTATGGAACTACCTAAGGTCACATTGGATGGCCAGGAATAGAGCCAGGTCCTCAGGCTCCCAGGCCACTGTCTCCCACCGTCTCCTGCTTTCCAGAGCCAGGAGAGAGTCTGGCTTGGGGTAGGTGGGATGGAATGTTTGCGGGGGCATAGGGGACCTTGTGAAAATCCCCACCCCTGGTCCTCTGAAGCTTGAAAATCCTGATGGGGTGAGCACGGGGCAGGTCCCTTACTTTGCTGGAAGTTGGGCAATCTGTCAGGAATTGAAGCCAAGTGACCTTGCTGTCTCCTGTGCCCTGTGTCCTCTGACCAGGGTCACAGACAGCTGCTGAGGGGTTCCCCTTCAGGTGGTGGGGTCGCTGGTAATGCACAAAGGCTAAGGTCCCATGGGATTATCAGTCCAGAACTCTCCATCCCCAGCTCAGAAGGGCAGGCTGCCGGTGCCCTGACCTTTGGCTATAAAGGCTCATCCAAATCCTCAAGCAGTTGCTTCCAGCTCATTGGAAGGAGCCCAGCTGAGGCATCAAATGCTTCTCTGTAAAGTGGAAGTGATCATTTCTACCTCACTTTTTAAACATAAATATAGGCATTGTATTAAAACCATAGATAAATAAAGTTTAAAGATAAATATAGGCACTGTATCAAAAATACCCTTAGTAGATCACAGTAAACAGCAAGAGGTGGCCCAGTCCCCACAATATGTGGAGTCCCCAGGCATTGTCATCCCCACTCTCCGGGTGAGGGAACTGAGGCTCAGAGAGGTGAAGGCACTTGTCCAGAGTCACACTACTGATAAGTGTCTGTGATTCAGACCAGCTATTTCCACCCTACCTCCACCTTCCAGAACTAGGACCTGCTGCTAGATTCTTACTTTGTAGGAGCCAGGCCAGGCCAGGGTGCTTCTGAACGAGGCTCTGGGGCTTAAAAATTCCAGGAGGGTCTGGAATTAACCAGTGGGCTGAGGAACACCTCCCTCCAGGGGAGGGGAGGAGGAGGAGGAGTGAGCTGTCCAAAAGGTGCCCTTGGTGTCCCATATATAGCCACCTGTGGTGGAGGGATCCTGGGGAGCTCAGTGGCCATGTACCTTCCGTGGGTACTAGATAGATAAGCTGCTGGCTTAGCTTAAGCTCTTAGCTGAGTGAACTGTGGTCCAATACGTCACTTTTCTGTTTCTTCATGTGCAGATGGGATAACCATCTTTATTTGGGGGAGGGTTTTAAAGGGGGGACAAACGGCCTGTGAATTGCTCCCATAGTACCAGATATACAACTAGAGCTTGATGGATAGTTTCCTTGTCAGATGTGGATTTTGAAAGAAGCAATGGGACAGAGTGACAAAACTGGCCCCAAGCCTGGCACAGGAGCCCCTAGGTTGGCCTTGACCTCATCTGTTGCTCTGTAATCCTGCAGTGACCCTGGATCCCCACATGCGGCTCCTTCCTGAGATCCCTACTCCCCACTGGCAGGAAAGCCCCCTCTGTTCAGGGGCCAAGAGCTCAGTGAGCTGGGTAACTCCCGGCGTGGCTCCTGGGTGAAAACAGCAGCAGGGACCTGTGTCACAGAGCTGCGCTCAGTGCCCGAGGGCCTCTGCCAGATAGGCACTCCCTCCTGGGGTGCAGAGGAGCCAGAGGTGCTGGGCTGGCTTTTGAGATCCCCCCCTCCCTGCCTCCCAGGATCCCTTCTGTCCCACAGACCTTGTTTATTTGTTCAGGCTGATAAAGCAGGATTCTCTGGACTCTGGCTGGGAACAGGCAAAGTGCATTGTTCTGCTGGCCTTTCTTGGCTTTTCTTGGATGGGTTTGGAGCCGCAGCCAGGGCTGGGCATGGGAGGTGGGAAGGGGGAGCGCACAGGAGTTGGCATGCTGTCACCAAGCGGGTCCTCCTTCAGTTTCCCAGCTTGGTGAGGGGCAACTCCTTGGCTGCTGGAGGATTTCAAAAGGAGACAGCAAACCTCGCCTCTGACGTGGGTGCCATTTCAGGACCCCAAGTAGTGGGGGAGCGGGGCGATGAGCTGGCATTGTGTCCTGGCTTCCGGCCTCTTGCTCCTCACCTGCTCTGGGGCCCCTCTTTGGAGACGTTCTGCAGTAATAACTCACCGACTCGTATCAGGCTTTCCTCTGTGGAATGTATCCGTCATCTCACTTAACCCTACCGTGCTGCAAGGGCAGTCCCGGGAGCATCTGAAGAGGAAACCCAGGCTTGGAAAGGTGATGTCACTCACCCTGGTGAGAGCTAGAGTCAGGAGTTGAACCCAGATGACCAAAAGGTACGTGTGCTTCAGCTCTACCCTCAATAGCTAATCTTCATCCTCCAAGAGAGGGAAGGGTTTTGAACCCATTTCTAAACATTCTGGAGACACCTGGGGAACATGGAGGTAGATCAGTCATTTATTTATTCATTCATTCCCTCATTCAACAAATGCCCTTGTTTATGGCCTTGGCCTGTGCTAGGTCCTGCAGACATGGCCCTTCCTCCAACGGCTCACAGGAAGACGGGCCATTAAATTAGTTGCGATGATTGTGAATTAAGGACAGTTGGGGGGCTACTAGAGCACTGTTAAGGGCAGGTGCCCCCTCCTGCACTCTGCCCCTTGCCCCCTGGCTTAGGGTTGGGTGGGGAAGGTCAGAGAGAGCTCCTGGGCAAGGTGAGGTTTCAAGTGAGATCAAAATAGATGATGCATTTAGAGTCCCCATCTGAGTGACTGTCTTCTTCATGCTTTCTCCATCTCTGCACCAGTGACAGTTTGGGCCAGGCAATTCTGTGTGGTGGGGGCCTTTTAGGCCCCTGTGCACTGTTTAGCAGCAACCCTGGCCTCTCCCCTGTGGGAGCCAGTTGCACCTCCCCTCCATTGCTCCCCAAGATGGACAGTTAGGCGTGTCTTGCAGACATTGCGAACAGTCCCCCGAGGGATGGAATCATCCCCTGTTGAGAACCATTGGCCCAGAACAGTGCCTGGCAGATGGGGGATACTCACCAAATACTTGCTGAATGGATGTGCTGGGGTGACCCAGTCTATGGCATGGGGTTGATCAGTACCAGCGGCGGTGGTAGGGATGGATGCTGGGTATAGATCCTGGAGAGCCAGAGGGCAGAGGAGACCAGAGCCCTGGTTGCTGGGTCAGCACGTTTCAGCCATTTAGGTGAACGGTGTGCATCAGAAGGGCAGTTGGCTGTACCGGTTAGCACCGATCACATGGGCCTTGTGGTATCGCCTGCACGTCACCGCGCAGAACTCAGCTGTAGTCTGCGTTGCCTTTTGCTCACACAGGACAATGTTAAAAAGGTAGAGGCTCCATCGCTTCATGCCGTACACACCCGTGTGCAATTAGTGAGTGTGTACTTGGCGATGAGTCACTGACAAGCATGTCTGGTTGGGGCTGTATTTATTGTGTACCTGTTGTATGCCCAGCAGCACTTAGGGTCCAGAGGGCATCAAGAAAAAGAGAAAAGAAAAAGAAAACCAAGCATATGTGTGCCCTCCCAGCTAAGCACTTGCGTTTGACCCAGGACCCTGGGTACCTAATTCCATTATGACATTGTAACATAACTCTTGAGCGTGAGTTCTCCGAAGCCAGGAATCAAGTTATTGTTCAGAGTTGGACCCCCAAATGCCCAGCAAAACAAGTGTCACTGCCTGAGTGAATGAATGGAACGTGGGAGCTGACAAATGTGTCCGTTCTCTCTGAGAGACTCCTTAGGGAGTGTGGGGGACAGAGCTCTGTCACGGCGGGAACTCATATGCTTCATTCCTATTGCCTCGTGGGCATGAGCTGAGCCTCAGTTTCTTCCACTACAAAGTGGGAATGTGGATGCCTCCCAGAGTTTGTGAGTGGATGAGTTGAGGTGTATGCGTGGAAAACAGCAGGTGCTTCGAAAATAAACTCTGCGTTAGGAGATTAGACAGGCAACCTCTGTTGCCCAGCCGTCCCCTCTCAGGCGGTGGGATGTCACTGTGAGGGGCCCCACGCCGGCCTGGCCGGGGTGCCCTGCTAGGCCTAGCTCAGCACAGAGACCCCCGGCAGCCCCTCCTGATGCCTTCTCAACCCACAGGTGCCGTGTTACTCATATGGGCAGAAGCTGTCCAAACTGGCCATCCTGAGGATTGCCTGTAACTACATCCTGTCCCTGGCGCGGCTGGCTGACCTTGACTACAGTGCCGACCACAGCAACCTCAGCTTCTCCGAGTGTGTGCAGCGCTGCACCCGCACCCTGCAGGCCGAGGGACGTGCCAAGAAGCGTAAGGTATGTGCCAGCCACTCGGGCAGCAGCCTCCGGAGGGGGGCGGGAGAGGTGGGAAGAGAAATCGGGGCACCTCACGCTCACCGAGGCTTCTAAGGGGGCCAGCGAGATCAGCCTCTTAGAGGTTTGCTGGGGGTTGCTCCGCCTTCGGAGCTCCTCACGCCCCTGGGATTATGGGGGTGACTCTACTGGTCATGGGCCTGGTGGGTACCTTGGACAGTCACCCTGGGCCTCTGGGCCTGGGTTTGCTCATTTGCTCACTTACTGCGGAAGATGGTGTGTCTGAAGCTCTTTCTGGTTTTATGTATTCTGGTGCTGGTTTGCTCATGCGGCCCCTAATAAATTTATATTAGAATGAGATCCTCTGAGCAGGGTGACAGCCCAGGAGAGCCTTTTGGCACGTTTTGGGAGTGTGACTTGGCCTGTGGATTACCTGAGGCCGTATATAAAGGCGGGTGATATTTGCAATTCATTTATTCATTGTGGAGAGATTTGCCGACCCCACCCACGTACAAAGCGTGCTGGGCAGGGGCTATAAAAGTGACAGACATGTGGCCCCAGGCCCCATGAAGCTCACAGCATGGTCAGAGTGACCCTTCTGCCAGTAGATATGGATGGTACAGGGTGGTCTCGGAGGTCTCTGCTGAGGGTCGTGGAAGGCCAGGCAGAGGAGGGACAGGTTACCTCTCCCGCCCAACGTGGTTTGAAAGGGCATCTTAGTGTAAGTGGTATTTGATCTGGGACCAGAAGGATAACCAAGAGTTCGCCAGGAAGATGAAACATGGAAGAGCATCCGAGACCAAGGGAACAGCCTGTACAGAGCTTGATGTGTTTAGAGAAATATGTGCAGGAGGAAAGGTGGTGGGCACAGCTGTGGTCCCTGAATGGCCTGTGCTTCCAGCCTTTCCATTTGGGGGTCAGTGCCAGGCAGTGCTGGGCAAAGCTGTGGCAACCCTCTGGATGCCTGTTCCTGGGAGGCTAGGGGAAGAGACACAGAGGGTGGGACCCAGGCTGTGTCCATGAGGAGGGTGGAAGCTGTGAGAGACGCCTGGCTCCCCTGGGCATCCAGGGATGGGGAAGGTGGGGGAACCCGGTGGCTGGCATCCTCCCTCCTTCCTGCTGCCTCCTTCTTCCTTCCTGACCTGCCTCTCCCTCTTGTCCCTGACATTCCTCCTCCGGCCCCCCTTTCCATCAGGCTCCTCTCTGGGTTCTCCCAGCGGCCTCTGGGCCCTGAGCCAGGGAGGCCCCCCCCCCCAGACTCTCCTGCCTCCACCAAGGAGGGCCAGGCACGTCCTCACCGCCAGCCACTGCTGCAGTAATTGTACGTTGCATTCCTGGGAGTGATTTAACATGGACCAATTAGATGAAATCCTCATCAAGTGGGTGAGAGAGGAAGCGCCACTGGCTGCTGGCAGGGCGGCTTTCCTCTGGAAAGTGACACGGGTAAATTAAGGGCGTGATTGATGGCTCCATGCAGGGCTCTGTGACAAAGGAGGTTTGTAAACTCTGGGTGAACTTCCCGTGGCATTCGGGCGGTCCCGAGGTGTGGATGGGCAGGGTGGTCAGGCGCCATTTACTCCAAATCCACCCCTCATCCCCTCACCTGCCCCCCAAAATCCCCCCATGCAGCAAGACAGTGCTGAGGCCCCCTCTCTTCCCTGTTTCTTGATTGGAGCAGACCACGTCCTGGGCTGGGGAGGACAGCAGGGGAGTGGGGTCAAGATGAGCCCCAGCAGAGATGAGCTTTTGGCTTCCCCTAAAATCACTTCAAATCTAAGACACCTTAGAGGCCATCTGGTCCAACTTCCCATTGTCCAGATTGGGAGACTGAGGTGGCAGACGGCAGTTCAGAGCAACAAAGAACCCTGAGTTCACAGTCACCTAACAGCTGTGTCTGTGTCATCTTGGACCCATTTCTTAACCTCTTCGAGCCTCAGTTCTCTCACTGATAAATGGGCACAGTGGGAGCATCATCAGTGATTTCTCAGGCCCTTTCCAGCCTGTGTGTCCATGCAGAGGTCTTGCCTCACCTCAGAAGGGCATGGGGCTGCTTGCAACCCACATCGCATCCTCCTAACTGTCCCCGGGCTGCTATCTCCCAAGGGCTATGCCTACACAGTCAGCTCTGCTGAGAGGACTTAGACGGATAGGGTCCTGGAGTTGCCGGGACATCTGAGGACTTCTCCAGCCCCAGCATTCTGCCCTGGCAGGTAGGGGGTTCACAGCACCACCCCATTTCTGTGATCTGTGCTTCCCTGCCTCTCTGTCACCAGGCAGGTGAGGTGAGTTCTGAGATGTCCTTCCTCAGGGATGGTCTCTAGTGACCTGCCCAGTGGCCCTGAGTGGCTGGGGCAGGCCACCTTTTTGTTAACCAGAATGAAGGAGACCGGTATCCCTGGAAATTCACTTGATCATTCACTCATTCATTCATTCATTCATTCACTCAGTGTTCATTGAGCATGTGCAGTGAGTTCCATCCACACTGAGACTTGACCCTCCATAGTCCCTGTACACAGAGTATATGGATTTGGGGCTCAGATCAAGCCTCTGTACCCGTCCCCTGTGGCCACTGAGGATTTGGGGATGGGGGTGAGCCAAGCTTAAATCCTAATGAGAGAGATAAAAAGTAAAGAAGGGAACAAACTAGAAAACATGTGCCAATGTAAGTGGCTCAAAGGAAGTCCTCTATAAACAGCTGCTGTGATGGCAGTGACCCTCACCGGTATGACTGATAGCATCTTTAGCCAGCTGTCCCACTTGATGGCTCCCTCACACAGTTCATGTGTCCCCAAGAGGCCGGGCGACCCCTTCTCAGGATGCCTCCTTGAGAGATTGTACACCGTGTCATCTGAGATCCCTTGTAGCGCTAATGAGCTGCCTTGCCCACCCGCCAGACCTGTGTTAAGAATGGGATTGAATCTGAATTCAGTGCTCCCCACCCCAAGTCCCAGGTGCATCCTTTTGCCTCACCTCAGCCCTTCCCTACCAGGGACCCACCAGACTTGACCGGTGGGTCTTCTGTCTCTGGTCCTCATGGGACACAACTCTGAGGTTTCGGAGCCTCGTTTGGAAGCCCCTGTTGTGCGGTGAGGCCTGTGTCAGCCGGTGAGGCCACCCAGCCCAGAGATGGTGGGGAGGAGTGGATGGGCCCTGGAGAACGCAGTTCTGACTCTGGCTGTAGCTGGAGATAATGCACGTTAAGCACCTGGCTTTGGGCCATGTTTCTGCAGCTCCTGTTTTTAAAGCAGCAACTCCTGGGAGCTTTGGAGGAGGAGGAGGAGGGGGAGGTGGAGGAGGAGGAGGAGGAGGAGGAAGAAGAGCAGCAAGACTGTTTCACACCTGGGCCGGGTGGGCCTTGCCAGACCTGCAGAATAGGAAAGGACCAATTTCCCACAATCGAGGACGCCCCTTACCAGCGCCTTTAACCTACTGAGTAATAATAATAATGGTAATAACGACAGCTACTAACACTGAAGGCATAGTTTAAATGCTAGTGCTAAATGGCCAGTAAGTCCGTGCCCTCAAGTTGCTTGCAGGCTATTTGGGGATGGGGAGAGAGAAAAACGTCATGATGCACCGAGTTAAGGGCTGTCCCAGAAGCCTGGGCAGCGGTTAGGGACCCCCAGGGCTGTGCCAGATGGAGGGAGGCTGGCTCTGCAAGACTGGAGGTTGCTCCTAACGCGTTGGGTGATCTGGGCCGGAGGAAGCCCTGAAGCTGATGCAGCTCCATCAGACTTATGTCATCCCTCTTTTCCTGCTGCTTTTTAGGCAGGGGAGGCTTTTCTTGGTGATGGCAGGTCCCAGGGTGACCTGCTCCTTTTCGGAAGAACATCTTGTGTGCAGACTTCTGTAGCTTTGGTGCTGGGGACAAGCGGAGGTGGTACGTTGGTTTTGGGTTGGGGGTCCATGGGAGCCAAGGGTGTTTCGAGGGGCCCTTTACTGACTGGCTGAGCCCAGAGCCTTATGTGGACTGTACCCAAGCCCCGGAGCATGTGGCCCAGTCTTAAGAGCTCCTGCTCTGGCTGGACCCAGCTGCTGGTGTGCCTGGCCTCCTGTGTCCCTAGAGTATCCGCCAAGGGGCACAGCCCTGGCTCCGTCCCCATTGCATGTACATAGTCATCTGCACTGGGGCCTCAGTGTCCACTTCTCTGAGGCGAGTTGTCACCAGAAGTGATTTCTGAGGCCCTTTCTGGTTGGGCTTTCTGAGCTGAGGTCACCTCAGCCCCTTTTTCTGTCTGAATGACTAAACGTGGTACTCTTGCTTTCCCTGTGCCCTGCATGGGCATCTTACACAGACCTGAAAGTTTCTCACAGGGACTGCTGGGTCTCCAGTGCATTGTGTCCCGGGAACACCGGTAACACCTGATGTTCTTAGAGCCTGGACTACGTGTCGGGCATGGTGCTTAGATCTTGTGATGATGTATCGACTCGTGACTCTTTCTGCCAAGCCTACGAGGGAGGTACTGATGCTGTCCCATTACACAGATAATGAAGCTGAGGTCCAGAGACCTAAGGAACTTGACCAAGGTCCCTTAGCCAGTCAGAGAGGGGTGCAGCGGCCCTACCCTCCCCTGTTCTGCCTCCCACATGGAAGTGGGTGTGTGAGAGGAGGTTCTATTTCCAAATCCTACCGGCCAAGTTACTGAGTTAAATACCATTTGCCTTCAAAGCCCATAGAGTCCATCTATGCTGGGAAAAAAGGGGGGTGGGTGGGAAACCACCATCAAATTCCCTTCTAGTCATAAAAATGGATGCAATTTATTTTTTCTGGCATTCCAATTACATAGACGTTTGTCGCCAGCTGTTTGCTCTAACAGAGTGTTCTCTCAGCTGCCGTTTCTCCTCTCACATTTGACATCATTAGTCCACAAGTCTGGCAGGGACTGGGATGGAGGGAGTCATTGGCTGGGGAGCCTCACAGGTGAGCTCAGAGCCAGCTTTCCCCGGAAGGAAGGCAGAAGTCGGCCCTCCGATGTTCCCCGGGTGGTCCCAGGGTGGGGTGG